TACTGCCTTGATTTATTATATTGTTGATTTTTAAAAATTTTATATTTTAGAATTTACCCACTAAATTTTGACTCTTATATCTGTCACTCTCTAATGGCTCCAAGAAGTTAGAATTCTTACGTTAGAGGCAAAGAATGGTAGTTGATGAAGTGAGTTTGAGATAAAACAGACAAAGATACAGAGAGAAAGAATAAAAGGTAGCAAAAGAAGAAGTGGAGAGAAAAGGAAAAGAAGAATGGAACAGAGGAAAATCAGAGGGGTGAGAGAAGACAAGGGGAAGAAAGATGAGGAGAGTAAAGACAAGGCTTCATAGATAGTGTGGCTTTCCTGGATTTCCACAACATCTGACCAATTTCTATAAATTGTAGTTATTAGAATATAAAGTTAGTAGCCATTAGAATAATCAAGGCACATGTTTATGCATGTGATTTTTGCAGTGCTATCTAAAACGTTTGGACTAAGACATCGCTCAAGTTCTGTCATTTCAATGTAGTGTTCTCTCTACTTTACCAGTTTATAAAAAAGCAGCTAGGTATGTATGGACTTCATATGGGTGGACATTAACACCAAAAGGGACAGTGGAAGGAAATAGCTATCAAGTATAATGTTAGTTCGATTTAGTAGAATAAATATCTTTTGGATGCCTATCATACTCTAGTTACTGTGTTACATGCTACATGTAAAATACACATAAAACATGGCCCTTATTCTCAAGGAGCTTATAATCAAGTGAGGGAGACTAAAGAGATTTCCCATTATCTTGAGGTGGAGACCTGAGCTGAGATTCTAATGGGAAAAGCTGAATTTCTTTATAGTTTAAGAGCTGAAGAAAGGAATATATGCCAGGATCTCAATCGGAAGACTGAGAGGGCCATGACTTAGGAATAGGAACAAATCAAAGGTAGACTTGGTCTTACTAAAACTGCAATGGAGACCCAATGTAGGTCAATCCCTGATTGAGTTGTGCTGATCAGCCCCACAAACCATTTGCTTAACAAAGGAAAAGGAGAAATCTTATCTGTTGGAAAACAATATTCTATAGAGTCTCTACAGTTTTTTTATACATATCAGC